CAGTACACTCTTCGAAAAAGAGTAGGGGATTGTCTCCCGGTGTACTGCCCAATCACCACCAGAAGGAGTGACTTTCGTGGGCTATCCTTGGTGTTTAAACCGAATAAATCCAATCCAATCCAACACATCGTAGTAAAGCATATCAATGCAATGAATAAGAAACAAATAGTTCCTAAAAATAAACCGTGTACGATTATTTGATTTTTCCTCTTGGGAGTTTCTCCCTTCTAAAATGTGTAACCCTTTTTGCTCGCTTCTAACATTTTTCATTATCTTTAAATATTGTAGGCCTTCTATAATTTAAAATTTTTCTCTGCTTTTTAATGGAATTTTGATGTTGATTCTTTGTTTTCCTTGACCAGTTTTAATGTGATTTTCTTGGAATTGTTCTTTTTGCGAGCTTTATAATTTCTTCGTTTATTTAACTGGAGACAATAAATTTTATCCTGTATCTTGTATCTTGATACTATACTTGCGGTTTCTTTACCCAGGGTTGTGCAAATATTCATGGTTACAGCAGCCTATGTAAATGAGGAGGTACCTGGATTGGCAGTAATTTTCCATCAGTACTGGATTTTATTGTACGGTTCGAAATTCGAAATCAGTATACAATGTAACACTTCAATAACATTAAATCAATAATGGGGAAAACGGCAATGCCTGTGTAGTTTTATAGAGAGCGTAAGGTATTTATTACCCAGACAATATAGTTTTCGGAATCTTACGTAATTATGAAAACGATAACCAATGCGGCTACGTCATATACTGTATGTTGGGAACAGGTCAAAACGGCAAAAAACACAAAACGACAATGACCAAAACGGCAAAAAACCAAAACGACAACACTCAGACCAGAACGGCAATGGACCAAAACGGCAATAAGTCAAAACGACAATAAACCAAAACGGTCCAGAATGACATACTGTATGGTATTTGGCAAAATGGCTAAATGAAATCAACAATAGTAGCATATCACGTAGGCCACCTACCTTTTTACACGAATCAACGATCATATTCAGCGATGTATTTTCAAGTATGTTTTAGGAACAAATGACGATAATGAGTATCGTATTCGTACTAACGTTATCGTTTCCTAAGGTTGCGAAAACTCCCTAATCTCTGGGCTTTTCATCAGCGCCGAAAATAAAAACCTTTAACCTCTGTCCACACGATACATTTTTCTTTTAAAAAAAAAAAATGTATACACATAATTATAGCGTCATACTGTGCCTATATAATATGGTCATGATGTGACGTCATCATGATTATATTTAGGCATAGGCCTATCAATATCAACAGGACAGAGATTTACAGAGAAAACAGCAGAAGGCACTGCTCTTTTCACCACTAGCAATAATTGTTCTGAAACATTAAAAGTGATAGGCCTATGGGGAAAACGGTTGGTACTAAAAAAAAAAACACCTAAATATTTTAACATATACAAATATATATTTATGATTAATACACTAGGATTAGTGGTACTACTTTTTAAGTGTTGATTGAAGGTTTGCAAAGCGAAATAGTAGCAATAATAATAAAAGGTTGAGCTATTGTACATATGTTCTGCATAAACTTTCGTTTATATTTTTGTTGAGGGTATAACAAGGGGTGGGTATTATAGAACTTCTATACTATTTGGTATGAAGAAACACAAAAAAACTATCTTTTCAGAAACATGGTACTGCAAAGCATTTTTAATAGTTTTCCACGATTATGAAAACTGTGTATATTTGTTCATTTAATAATAATAATAATAATAATAATGTTATATTTATATATAGCTTGCATAGCCATATTCAAGTTGCATAGCCATACAGGGGAGTATGGTGGCGCGAAGGTGAGGTGGGGTTGTGGGAGAGCCGTTCGATAATTAAGGCCGGCCTAAAAAAAAAACAATTTTATGTTGGCGTAACCCAATTGACCCTAAAAAAATTCGGCCGACCCTAGACATTTTTACTTAAATTTCACGTGTGCAAAGTGGGCGTGGTCTTAAGTCACTCAAAATGTTTCAAAAATAGATTTCAAGGCCTTTGCTTAATATTGTGGCTGTAAAAAAAAAACCTACCCTATTTTTTGGGGTCCGTTACGCCAACATAACATTTTTTTAGGCTAAGGGTGTACTACTGTACCTGAGCATTTATTTTTATTTATTTATTTATTTTTTTTTGCTTCAAACATTTTTTGTGGGGAGGGGCATGCGCACCTCCAATATAGTCATGGTAGGATTATGCAGTACTCTATTAATGGATGAAAAAAATAGCAAGAGTAACACAGAAAACCAGGTAAATTATAAGAATATCATTATATATATATTTGGAATCTCAAGTTTATCAACAGATTTGTTAATACGTTCAATATCTTTATGCTCCTTGGTTATACATCACGTGATCAAAAAACAACTGCACAATCATAGACACTGCCTGCAGAAGCAAATACTATTATACTATTTCATGACGCTTTTATATGTTTTATACAAAACTTGTCATAGAACACATTCTACAGTATTAACGATCAAAATTAAGGTATAGATTGCAATAAGAGCAGGATTGAGAGTTGATTAATAGAATTATGATAAATTATTGAAAACCAAACAAAAAAATACATGAGCAGGTTGATATGAGATGATTACACAGAAGTATAAATTACCTGGTATACAAATGTTTTGTAAGATGGAAGTAATTTAAGCGCTACCAATAAAACGTATCCAAACTAATAAATTACTTGTCTTCATTCTAAATCAGGGCACAGAGACAAGTATTAAGTGCTACTGGAAAATATAATGGAAGGATTTCAGCATTTATAAAATTAAGTAGCACTTCATTTATCTCATTTAAAACATATACTACATTAATAGATAGCTTCATAATGACACATATGCAACAAAAACACCTGCATTTTAAAAATGTACAATTCTTTGACACTTATACACAATCTTACAAATAATATACATTTACAGACTTCCACGATAAGCCGGTGATAAAACCCGAGTAGAAATTATGTGGCATCCTTTATTAAGATGTTCGGTACAATTCCTTCGGTATCGATATGACATTCATAATTACATGTTTAGTTCACTTGTTAAAAAAAACATTTCAACTTATGCTGATGACTGTTTCCAATTGGATGGTAATGGAGGCAAGGACATTTTCACATTGTTAGCAGATCCATGACAGGTTTTTTGAGACACATTGATCTGTATGAGTTAAATGTTTTGGAAAAACATGTTGGGAGATAAGAAAATGGTTTTCCATTCTGTGTCAAATTTTCACTGGCAATTCATATCTTACTTCAGCCAAAACAGCTGACAAGTTATTCATGCTTGGAGTCAGAAAACCATAATTTCACTCCATATATTATTTTTAAAGATACAATTTTACATCTACTATGTATTTAAAAATGCATTTTATATTTAACCAAAGTAATACTGCACTAACTTTTTCATAACATTCACAATCCTTGTGACCAATTAAGTAATTAATTACAACATTTACGTACACTGAAATAAGGGATACTTTGTATACCAGCAGCAACAAGAACAACTACAACAACAATTATTATTATATGTCATAAAATTAAAATAAATTTGAATTTTACATACGTCTTCTAGTGTACGGATACAAGGCACTGCGTAAATTGAAATCAAATTACCTATGAAAAAAACTTCCAAACTTAATTGCAAATTAAGCGATATTTCTCGTAGGGCTTAACTTTCACATACGTCATATTAAACATCCTCAATATTGAGATAAATATTGGAAACAATACTCCTAGATATGACATTGTATTCATATTTTTGTCTGATTCTGAAGTCTAGAGACTTAAAGCTCTGCCCAAATTGTAAAATTTTCTTTCATAAAAAAAACTGTTGTACGCACATGTATAGTCATAATGTGCCTATATATGGTCATAATGTGATGTCATCATGACAATATTTAAGCATGTCATATTTTTGCCAAATGAAATTATGTTGTTTGGACAGGACTTCAGTATTTGATTCATACACACACAGATCTACATTGCATTTTAAATGAAAGACAAAGACGAAGAGTACTGAAACTATAATACAACATCAAGGTAAATTTACAAGATATACGATTTGGGGAAAAAAAAACACTATATTATTTTACCGAAAATATATCTTAAAAATAAAGTCTCTTCAAACACAATCAAGGTTATACAAAAATATTATATATTGCTGAAAATATATTCAAATGTGCATCATTCGTTAGACACCAAATTCATATGCCAGTAAAATGGCATAACTTATCAATGTTATCGTTTTATATAATATCAATAAACTTATCAATGTTATCGTTTATATAATATCAATATAAAGTACTCCCTCACTCTGAAGATCGTAGTTGTGCAAGAGAGAAAATATTAATATTGCTTCCTTTGATAAAATTATCGCGACAATTGTGGTAGTTGGTAATCAGATATAATTGAGTCTACAAAAGAACCGCTTACAATCACATGTTTAATCTCAGTGAAAACAATACTTCAAATATCAGTTTTCTTGTTTTTTATAATTTTATACGAATCTGATGTTTTAATATTGTTGTCTCAGATGTCTGTACAAAATACGTTTGATTACCAAAATAAACTATTATTCGATAATTTCATTACAGTTTTGTAGCATTATCATGTTACATATTAATAAAAAAAATTTCAAGATGCTTTTGCAATTTCTAATTGCTTTCAATTTCTAAAATTGTTCACCTGCGATTCAATTATTGAGTTACGTTGTTTTTCAGAGAGCAAAAGTCTACAGACACTATTATTATTTTGTTTAATTATTTTATATATGTGTGTTTATTTTGGCTAAATAATGAATGAATTACAAAATTGTCAAGTACATTTAAAAATGTTAAAATTTAAGTGAATGAAATGGAAAAAAGCCGAAAACAAATAACAATTTCTAAAAATTAGCAAACACTGTACTACAATTTTATAATGGTAGAAACTGAGTTAAATTTGTCCAAGTCTACTGCAGGGCATGCCATTGGGAAGTTAGTTAAATTTCAGTGACATCATCACAAAAGTATAATCTAAAAACATAATTTAAACGTAACTGCGCACAAAAGTATCGAAGAGTGATGAAATATCAATTAATTGTGAAAACACATAACTGTCAATAACAGCCGTCACTTAAAAACTTTCAACTAATCATCTGCAAGTTGGGAAGAGGAAACAACCAATTATATTAATGAATTATGAAATGATCTCATTAGTATTTTGAAATATTATTAATGTGTAATAGCACTAATGTTGTTAAACATTCAGTAAATCAATAAACTATGTAGACCTGAAACACCCAGAAAATCACAAAAAAAGTGAATTCATCTCCGAGTTTCTTTTTAAAATTTGATAGCTTTGAGGTTCCAAGATATCACATTGAAAATTATCTCCGAGTTTCTTTTTTAACACATTCACAATTTGATAGCTTCCAGGTTCCAAGATTTCATATTGAGAATTATTATGGAAGCATACCTAACTATTATTATGATAAAATAATGGTATTCTCATTTTAAAAATCTGAAAATTAAACACATCAACACTTTTTTTGCCAAAAAAAGTGTACAGTAAACAATTCTGTAAAAGGTTTTGGCAAAATTTGTTACTGCCATTAATTTAAAGAAAATAAATAAATAATACAACTATCCAATTTTCACACAATTAAATATGTATAGCTTCATTTCCAGTTGGAAATAATACTAAAAATGATAGACCTAAGCTAATCAAGAGTAATGAGGAAGCATTGTTATTATAAATTAAACACATCAATACTTTTTTTTGCCAAAAAAGTTTACACAATTCTGTAAAATATTTTGGCAATTTATGCTGCCATTAATTTAAAGAAAATACATAAATAATACAAGTATCTAGTTCTCACACAATTAAAAATATATAGCTTTATTTCCCAGTTTAAAATAATACTAAAAATGATAGGCCTAAGCTAATCAAGAGTACAGTAATGAGGAAGCATTGTTATATACTGTATTATATATTATAATGCTTTTAAAATAATTCATCCTTATATTTACCCATATTGATTTTTTCTTTCAATTTTTATAACGATACTTCATATAAAAAATACCAGTTGGTTAAATTGACAATTTCTACTTACTTTTCAAATATGAACTATAAATTATAGATAAAATATGTTAAATATTCTCTATGATATCATCATATGCTGACTCAAAAATATAACAATTGCACAAAAAATGACTGCAACAATGATAAAGAGTGGTTATTCAGATGATAAATTTAAAATTCATGAATCTCTTTTCCTAAAATATACATTCATATCTATCTCCACTGTCTAAGTACTCGACGCAAGGTGTCATCTATTGATTGTCGGTGGTAAAGCAGTGCGAGTGGATTGTTTGGAAAATGAGCTGTTGCTCATGCCTCATCACGTTTTCCAAGGAATTACATCTAACAACCATCCGTTGGCACAGTTTGTGCCCGGTTTAAGTTTACCTTAATGACACTTTCGGTTTCCAGTGTTAAGTAATGATTTCCAAAGTGGTTCAACAGTAAATTTAGAAATGTAAATATGTACTGTATGTATATCATACAACACCCAATATCATTAAAAAAAAAATTTTCTTCACTGTAGTCTAATTTTTCATGACCGTTTTCTGTATTGTTTCGTTTTCCTAACGGTTTTGCTATTGAAAAGAAAGAAATAAATCTAAATTAACTTTTAAGTTTAAACACAACAACTAGTCCAACATACTGCCAAAGTTAAACCACTGTTTAAATTTTAAAATATATGAGATAGAATAATATGATCACTGTCCCAGTAACACCTGCACAAAAGCCTATAATGCATTAAAAATCCCCATAATGCTTACTGATCCAAAATATGTGTGAATGCTACTGAGGTTTTTATAAAACCAGTTGAAAGTAAAGTCTAACTTTAGGTCTGCCACTCAAAACTTAATCCCATTCAATACTCCAGCAATTCTGACTCAGCCTACTAGAGGACCCTTGTCTATTGTGACACAGTTTAAGATATGACCTAGCTTTGTATAACCTCAAAATATCATGAAAATACATGTTTGAGTCATGTTAGATAATATGCTAGATATGAAACTTCCAACAAAATGTTTCTTTTCTTGTGTCTCCATTTTCTCTGCTAGATAATCCCAGATGTTGTTAGACCCAACTGGATATTTGTTGAAAGCAAGAGAATTTTAGATGAGTTTGCCTTGATTAAAATGGTGACTTTTGTCCAAGATCTTGATTGTATCTTTGAACTTTCCAACAAAATTTTTCTTTCTTGTGTCTCCATTTTTTCGGCTAGATAATCCCAAGTAGCTGTAGTTAAAAAAAAAACTGTATAACATTTGCTATTAAAATGTAAGAGCATTTTGGATGAGGTTGCCTTGATGAATATAATCACTTGTGTCCAAGATATCAATTGTATCTTCGAAATTTACAACAAACTGTTTCTTTATTGTGTCTCCATTTTCTCCGTTAGACAATCCAGATCTCTAATAATTTCATGGTTCTTAAATCTTCTGCAAGTCATGAGTCTTGCGGAAATCGGGATGGCCTCCTGCACTCTCACATGCAAGCAAGAATCTCTTGGAAAATATTACATCTTCTGCATATTCATATAGTATTTGCATGTTTTTAATACTTTATTTGCAATTGTCTCACAGAAATCAGTGTTGATGGGTATCACCATTGGCATGAGCAAAATTAAATTTAATATGATACCAAAGTCCATTCAACCAGATCTGCCGGATGACTTTTGCCAAATTGAGATTTTCAACAAATTGTTTCTTCCTTATGTCTCCATTTTCCTACTAATAATTCAATAATCTCAAAATCTTCAATTCAGTCATAATACTTGGTTGTTAGGTATTAGTGGAGATGTTTCCATGTGTGTTTGCATTACTGTTTACAGTTCTTAATTTAATCAGCATCAAGATTATCTCAATTTTCAAGTTCCATTATCTTAGCTAATAGAGCTGTAGTTGTTATGTTCTAATCCCATGTTCCCTGGTTCAAATCCTACAGATAAATCCAATAGGAAATGGTGGTCTCTATCGGTGCTGCCATTGCCTTCTTGGGGGTCCCCCTCCACGTTTAGAATAGATTACGACAAAATCAAAATACTGTACAGTACGTACTATAATTCCAGTATTTACCTTTGTAGCAGATAATACTGTACTTAAGACTCCCCCACCACGACCAGCTATGGCATCTGCAGATAGGGAGAATAATCACTGTGGATCCGTCTATAACAATCCAATTTTTTCTAACAATTCTCATAAATACACAAAGCACCATTTCTATCCAGTAAAATTGGAGTCATTTTCTTTCGGCGTAAAAATGAAATGAAAAAATATCTTGCTTCATATAAAAGGTGAAATGTCTAAGATTTGGCATCGAATGGTTTCAAAACCTCATAGACCGAATGGAGGAGAGAGGAGTGTAGTAAGCCATCTGATTCAATGCCACCACTTTGATCCTGTTCCTTCCAAATCATGTCTTCAATACGGAAGCGGATTTTACTAAACCATATGTAACACGATCGACACTCGTCACGGTATTTTGTCCGTATTACTCCTGGAAGGCAAAAAACAAAACAATAATTAAAATACAATTATGTAGACATTAACTTTTACAAAAACAGTGGCAAACATATAATGAATTAAGCAAAGAATATTGATAGAAAATTCATAATATTCCTTATAGGAGTAATGTCTGATACAGACTATGATTCACATATTATTTTCAATATTTAACATACAAAACTAAAAGTCATATAATATACTTTTATTTACGCTTTTAACTTATATAAAACATTGCTTATTTACAATATCCACAAGGAACCATTCACAGTGGAGATCCAGAAATGTTATGTATGGCACTTCTAGATGGCTGGAAACAACCCTTTAAACAACAAATTTTAATTTAATTCCTCCTTTTCCCACATGACTATTTAATTTTGAAAAATTGTGTTGGGGGTGTGGCTCAAATTAGCCCATGATTGAAAATTAAGGCCTACAAAATGAAAATATTAATCTGTCTTGCAGCTGTAATTTTCCGTTTGTAGAAAGATGTTCACCTTTACTGTGGTTCTTCTCTACTTCCTTGCCATACTTTTTGACCAACAACTGGACCAGTTCCACAGCAGCATCCAAGATAGAAGTGCTGCAGATGTCAAACAGACGGTCTGTCACAGGCAGAACCAAGGCACTGAGTGACAATGTCCACTTATTTCTGCAATCAAAATAAAGTAAAGTGTAAAAACGTAAGCACACACACACACACTTAATGAGTTTGTAGGACACACACATACTACTGGTCCTGTTTTTGATTGGTCAGTTGTTAAGCTTGATTGACACCACAGAAAGGTCCATTACAACAGCAACAACAACAACAATAATAGACGCAAGGGGCAGAGCAATGTATACATAATCCTTCAGGTAATACCACCGCTCCTTTCTGTCCACGTATTAATCTCAAAGGAAACGCAAGCAATTTGCAACATCCTAATATCAACAAATAACCCTACCAAGACTGACTTGTGAAACTTCGCTTCATGATTACAAAATAGTTTAAAAAACTTAATTTAAAGTTCAGTGTCACAAATAAAGACATGCAGATATATTATCATTAATAACCATAGATTTACTATGCTAAAATAATAACAGCTCATCAATATAATTAAATGCTCTCATAATTGTAAATTATCATTGGCATTGCTGAACACTACTGAACATCTATATTCATTTATACTCGTAAATATTCATTAGATTTACTCAAGATTATCATATTCAATTGACACATTTGGAATATTCAGACTTTAGAATTTAAATAATTATTTATAGTTAAGTACTCAATCATTATAGCATCAACAAGTGTGGCGCCAGTGGGGAAATTCGGGGAAAGGCAAGGCCCTCAATGGAGGAGAACACAATTAATTTTTTTACAAATTAATGGACTCTAGAATCAATTAAAAAAGCTTTGAAAGCCTGGCCCTTGTCATAGTTTTGGGGGTTTCATCCCTGGACCATTTTCGAGAGATTTTGAGCGACACCCGACCAAGCCCCACCTTGATTTATGTAATAAAATTCATGCCAAGCAACACATTTCAGAATCTATACAAATCACTATTAATATTATTATCACTTTATCACTTGAAATATTCCCCAATGCAGAATTTCTTGCAATTTAGCATTAGGAAATAACAGCTTGATACAGTATTATGTTATTGTATAAAATAATGTGAAACTACAAAAAAATGTTTTATTCTGTATGTGACAGGCTTCTCAATTTAGAATGTGATTTCCAATACACTGTAAATACAATAAAATATAGATAAACATGTTTAAAAACAATAATAAAATTATTTTGACGGTGGCGGAGTAGAGCAGTACCATACAACTAGCATTACCCCTGGGCTAGGTGTTTTCAGATATTTCCTGCAGACTGTAACCCTTAGAGCCAACCTGAAGAGAGAATAGAAAATTAGCCTGAGCCGCAGACGACAAGCACTTACAGGTAACAGCACGCGTGGAAGCCTGAGGCAGCCTGATAATTTGCTCGCATCAACACAGTTTGCTCCAAAAATGGTGGCATTGAAATTTTCATTAAATTCGTAAGTTCTGCCAAGAATTTTGTCAATCTTTCCAAACAACAAGGCAACCTTCCTTCTCTAAATTCAGAATAATTTGTTTGATACTAAATCACATATACAATTTTGAAATACTAAAATAAAAACGAAAGAAAATTAATGCATTTAAATATCAACATACTATAGTAGAACCCATCCTTTGAGACATCCCCCTTTAAAGGGGACACTTTTCCAGACACAAAACAAGGGTAAGTATAGTGCCTCTAGTTGCCAATTCTGTCTATATGAATGGCAAAATTCAACAATAATTATGACAATATAAAATATTATTTATACTGACTTAAAGTATCTATAACAATAATTAATAATAATAATTAATAAATAGTGTACATTTACAATGCACCAGTATCCATCAAAGATACTCATGGAGCAAAAAAAGAAGTTGAGAGAGTTATTAACAATTTGGAAATCTAATAACTAACCAAGTGCCTTTGCTACGGCCAACTCATATATTATAAGGGGACACTTTTGAGTGTATTATTCAGTCAAACAATTTTACCCACTTTTATTAATACTACAACCAGCCAAAAATGTGTGTGACGATAGCATTGGAATGTAAAATTACGCATACATAATAGCTCAGTTGGCTTTACTGTCATTTTAAATTGGTTTAAGTCGAGTAGATTGGTATTAATAGGTAAACTAGACACTATTTAAATTTAACAATGTTTATTTAAAATACTAAAAATAACAAAAAATAACTTGTTCTCATTCACTAATATGAAATAATATAACTGACTTAAAATATTACCAGTATAAAAAATTAAAATATGACAACAAAATCAAGGAAATAAATTGAAAATAAATGTTCATCATTAAAATCACTAAATGTGCTAGAATAAATGTCATAATTATAGCTTCACACTTTCTTTAGCATCCTTTAAACTCAGGTCAAGTGATGGTGACCTTAATGACATCCTATAAATTCCAACCAAGAAAACAACAAAAAGCTTAAAATATAAGTTTATATCAAAAAAAGTCAAAAAAAAAAATCTGACAGATATTAACAAAGCCAATTATTCTTATGAAAGAATCAGTAAGAGTTTATTTCAATACCAATTTATAATTTAAAAATTTTTGAATATAGTATAAACCATATAGCTTCATTCTTTGGTTCATTTAAAAAAAAAAATAATTCGAGATCCTCCTATATCATTTCAAGCTTATTAATTAGCATTTAATTAATACAATCATGTATTAGTTACTATATACTGCACAAGAACTTTGCCAATGCCAATTTATTACGAAGTTCAAATTGAGGTAGACATTAATGGTCTATCTTATATACTTACTATTATACTGTTTTCACCTTTGTAATTAATTCTATGCATCTTTTCAGTGTAAATGAAACTTTTTTTCTTTGAACATTATGAAATAAATCTTAGTGGCACTGACTATAAAGAAAAATGGAGAAAAAACTAAGGTTGCTGAAGAAGACATTAATGGTCTATCTTATTTATTTCTTACTAACTATACTGTTTTGACCTTAATGTAATTAAAGTCTGCATCTTTTCAGTGTAAATGTAACTTTTTTCTTTGACTATTATGAAATAAATGTTACTGAATATAAAGAAAAATGGAAAAAAAAAATGCCATTACTGTACCTAAACAACATTTGTCTGATGCTGTGTTTTCACTGGATAAAATTTTACTTGGAGGAAGGATAGCTGAGACTAGCTGAATCATATCGCACTTGGATAAAAAAATACACAGTAGATTTTACAGAGACCATAGCATATACTGATTTGCAATGCAAATGGCTGTCTAAATGTACGGCCATAATATTTAATTTGAAACCATACTGCATATTATTTATGACAAAAAAAGCCCAATTTTTTATGCTTGCGCTGAAATACCTTCATATCTCCGGAGTAAATATCTGCTTGTCTCGTCAGTGCATTGTGACCGATTCGGAGATATAAATATATACCATGGTATTGTTTCAGGCAAAATATAGTTTAACAGATGTGGCAAAAATTCTTTAATTCTGTTTTCATTTAAAATTAGTCTATTTGACCACTTAAAATCAACACCTGTTCAAGTCCCTAGTACTGGGGCTGGATCACTTACTAAATGTCAGGTGCTTTCCTACTTGTACTATAACCAGATCATAGTTGAATGATCCTTGCTGCAAGTGTGACTGAATTTTTGATTTATCATCGTGGTGCGATTGTTTGAATCATGCTTGTGCATGCTTTGCTATATTATGTACAACCGCCAGCCGGTAGATTTTACAGTTCCAAACCGATATAACTCCATCAGCTTAAACAAGTTTTAAATTACATTTATTTACAAAACAACTTCAAAGAATCACTCGTTAATATATATAACTAATTGATATGTAGAATAACTGTGTGGTATATTTCCTGTTTGGCTGCTTTTTTCTGAGGTTTTAAATTTCACGCTTTAAGTTACGTGTTTCTATCTCTGAAATGACACATCATTGAAACCTGAAGTTTAACAGTTCATTCCAAAATGTTTATTATACACCCAAATGATATTATCTCAAAGTCAACTAAAATGCGATACTTTATTTTGTCCGAGACTGAAACAGCATCCTTGAATTTGCATGTGAGCTAATGGCATGGAATAGCTAAGAATATGGCACTTTTGAAAACCTGTCAACTGTTCTGTGCGGTTAGCACTCCAGCTGTAGGTGGGTACGGAACCAGAGGTGTAGGCTGATTCGCCTGGGAGAGTGAAAAATGAAAATGCAGGACTGAATCCGCACACTCCCCAGCCTACACCTGCACTATGAGTAACATGAATTCAGAACCTTTGCTAACTCTATGCTACTCTTATGGTATTATCAACACCATCAATACATAACATGTTATAAACAATTATTAGATTGCTTGGTTAACAGACAGGTAAAGTATTGCAGCGTGATTAGCATCTAGCATACGGCCTGATGTTGATGAATATGTTTAAAAAAAAAATAATCTAAAAAAATGTATCAGAAAAAATAAAGCAGCATTAATACAGTATTTAAAGTAAAAACTGCATTAGTATAGTTAAATTCTTATAATTGTACATAGTGAAATTATACAATGATAACGAGTAAATATCACAGCCCCTTCATAATGTCTGGGAAATAATGTATCTATTAAATTGTAAACGACACTTGCAAGTACTTATATTCAAAATACACAACATTAATGTTCAAGGCAGTAGATAGCAGTAATTAACACTATGTCATAAAAAGTCATCTAATAGTCATCAGCACATATTAATATGTGGTCAGATTTACTGTACTCTAAAATTGCAAAATGAGTCACAGATGTCAATAAGTGACCTATCAACAGCTGCTGTCCTGCTAAGTTCAGAAGCAGTGCCTGGTAGTGCCCTTGTTCAATTTTCGAACTTTTTTAACTCGTTACTTCAAACTTACTCCGAAACTATGAACAATTATTAACATGAATAAATCCTTAGTAAAATTAATACATACTTGTATATAATGCGTATTCCACTGCTAACTATAACATCATTAGATTATTAAGGTCAAATACACTGTTACAACAAACAATTGATGGCAAGTAAAATTAATTGTAAGTTTCACGTCTGGGATTTGAAATTTTTTTTTAGACGCAGTAAACAGGCTAAAGAAATTTGTCTTTTTTATATGTAAGAAGTAAAAATGAATTTTTGTATTAATATATTTCTGTCTTTTATTTTCCTCCTCTTTTGGTATCTAACTGTTCAGTGAGACTCAGGACAGTCCAGGATGTGTACTACTCTTGTATGTCTGAGTGTTACAATCATAACTGATACTCCCTCAGGGAGAACATGGACATTTGTTTAAATGAGTGAATAATACAAATACCTTGCAATATATGATCATATCAACAATGGCGTATCTACAGGGAGGAGGGTAGCATGCCCCTTCCCATAACAATGATTGTTCCACTATGATCCCCCACTAAAAATTTGCTTTGCAAAAAGAATAAAAGCTCAAGTAGTTAAAAATTACTTCATTTCAACTTATTTGGCATTAAAGACACCTCACTAATAACATCAAGCTCCAACGAAACATTCGCGCCCCCACCAGCACCACCCCACCCCAATGTCATTACTCCTAGATAACAGACAATTGATGATCAACATTATTATTTTTTAATATCAATCAAGTGCTGTTGAAACATAGAAGGAAAACCTCAGACCATTCTTCAGGAAAAAATGCTTGAAGGCATTTTTTAAGGAAATTAGTTTTCTAACAGCGGCCAAAATAACTTTAAAATGATTGCTTTATGAAGTCAATCCCCTTGTCATTAAATCTGGATAGGGTTATAGGAAGCCTTTCTCGCAGTAGGATAGTGCAGGTCTATAATTTTCATTTGTGTTCACCAACATTGTATGGATTAAAAAGGGATAGGTTCGTTGTGTAGGCCAAGCAACAACAGATTCTTTGCAGTTTCAAAAACGCTTTCTTTAAATAAGAGCATGATTATACTGCACAAACTAGGTCACAATTTATCAAAACATAGTCCATTATCGGAAAAGTTGCTACCAGCCATTGGTCATCTGTCAAAACACCATACCACTGCATGAACTGAAATGAACATTAACACATTCCATTTTACACAAGAATGTCACTACCACAGCATAGTATATCTGTGCAAAGCCTACAGTACGGTACTTAAAAAAATTGATTGAATTCTACCTAAAATGACACCAATGTCAATTCTGTAAAAAAAAAATAAGTGGGGTGCCGATTCGCCCTTGAATTATCGTAACATGACATTTGAAAAATTGTATAGTGAAGGTTCTTTGACGGATTCTTCTAGTATCAGTTGGTACCAAGATACAGTTCAAGAAATGTAACAGGTGTCAAAATGTGATTGATGGCCATGTCAAGCAGAAGTACTGTACATAATATAGGCCATGTTTTAGATTGAGAAACTAGTTTAGAAAAATTTAAAAAGAAGAAAGGAAGGAGAGTATGATTGAGTTGAAAGGGATAGGTACAGGTTAGAGACAAATGTTAGCAATACTGATTAAATGAATAATTGATTGATTGATTGATTGCAGGTCTCCCGCAAGTCCAGGGCATCTCCTGAAAATCAAGACAGCATCCCGCATTCTTTCAAGCAAGCAAGAATCTCTTGAAAATATTAAAATTATAATTGGTAATTTTGATATTATTATTACATAACTGTTTGATTCCTTATGCCACTTGGCAGTTTATAAATTATAATTGAGATGCATTAGCGATTTACGATATACAAAGAAAATTAAAAGGCAGCACTCTGAGACTAACTTGATGTTATTTATTCAACCCGAGCTTTCGCTGGCAGTCAATGCCAGCTTCATCAGGTGTGTCATTGAAGCTGGCATTAACTGCCAGCGAAAGCTCATGTTGAATATCATCCAAGTTAGTCTCTAACTGCTGCCTTTTAATTTTCTTTGTATATTGTTTAGACTAACACGGCTTCATTACCACTTTTACCATTATGTCAATTTAATAGTAATTCAACCAGGTTGCGAAGGCTACGCCATTCATTAGTTTTACCAAAATGTCCGAACATGTTCGGTGTAGAGCCAATCAATCTCTTGACCTTGACGGTCATCCAGGGTTTGTCAGAAATTCGCTTCCTTTTCTTGAGAATTGGAAAGTGGTTGTTGTATTAAGTGCAATTCAGAATAGAGGAAAATGCATTGGTCTTTTGATTAACATCCTCAATTATCAAGAATATTTTGCGAGTTCGTAGGTTGTAATCCACTGACCAAAAGATAAAATAGGCTCCCAGCGGTACTATATTACACTAAACACACTTTAAAAATGAGTAACTTTAGGAGTTACCACGTTATGTCGTTGATCACGAAGAGTACTATCAAGTTCCAGAGGGTGTCCTTCAAATGACGGTAAAAGGCGTTCGTGGCGAACTCGTGCTTCGTCTCAATAACGCATGTTCGAGTTTCAAACGCAATTTTGTTCGAGTTCCGAATGCTATTCGATTGTCAATAGACCGCCCTCTACCTCGTGGTAGTAGTACCCATCATGCCTAAACCGGAATTACAATTTTCCGCCATCTTTAATTGCTACATAATGACATAGTGTCTACATCCCCGTTGGGGGCAGTAGACACAAAAACCGACAAATGACGATATGTTTGCAGGCACACAGCTTTGTTTTCATTCAGAGGTTTCAACCTTCGGTTCAACTACTGTATTATTATTATTATTATTATTATTAATATGGAACTGTATTTTTCATATATATTGTTTAGATTAAATTTTCTTAAATTTTATCGAATATTTGTATTGTTTATGGCATCCCTGATACAAGCACGGCACGTTCCTTTTTATGTGATGCCACCATCTTCCTTGTATTATTTTGAAGAAATTTTTTTTGCTTGAATTTGTCACGTGTGGTTTTGTATGACTTGCATGAACAGTTAAAGCTTATACAGATTTCATCTAATTATACCGTACAGGAAAAAAAATTAAGAAAAAAAACCAAAACAATATTTTGAAAGTTCAAAATGTGGTTTATAATCGTATAGAATCTATGCGGTTTCTAATGTAATTATTATTATGAAAATTTTCATTTTACTTTAAAAAAGTTAATACTGCTATTTATCTTAAGAAAACGTACTGTATAATTAGTTTATTTTTATCTATTTTTACTATGTAGAAAAAGTATTAACAATAGTGCATATTTGTACAGAGCCGGTATCCACCAAACCTAACACTCATGCCTCTCTATGCGTGGACATATCTCGTTCAGTAACTTCCTGCACCCTTACCAGCTACTCTTGTCTGTCTACAACAGGGGCTGTTATGGATCGGTAAACCCCTTACTCATCTTAAAAGATGAACTGGGAATTCTTTATAAAACTGCACACAAGCCTATTTGTTTACACACACAACCTAAAATTTATAGTCCTTAGAAGACTTGTTCCACTCCCAGAGCGTGGCACTCAACCAGCGCTGATATTATGGTTGCAGGACTTAACGGCTCAGCCAATCAACTGGCCCATTAAGATTGGATAAGAAGTGACATATATTTCACATGACCTCCTATACAAACTCAACAGACAAGCCAAATAAACTTCTAATTCTGCAAAGTGATCTTTTATAATTATAGAAATTGATGTACTTACTCGTCTGAGGAAAACACGCTTAAAATTCCACTCCAACCAAACATATCCGTATCGGTGACCTTTTGAACTCTCTTACTCGTATCGTGTAAGTCTGTAAAGTAAAGACTTTTCGTTGATGACATGGAGCTTGCCCTAACACGTTTCACAAGTTTGTCAAAAGTCTCAATTGCTTCTATGCAGTGATCATTTACCCACAGTGTACAGATATCATATACAGCCTAAAAATAGAAAAAAAACCCCAAAAAAACGCATAAAATATATACAACTGAACTGGATATTAACTAAGAAACTAAGGGTCGGACTTCAAGGGGTGGGGGAAAGTGATATAAAAACAAGCAATATTTATTTTTTGTACAATACAAGTCCAATATAGCAAAATATTAATGTTGTTATTAAGAGAAAAACAAATTGGAAGAGAAAATGAAACCCTTGAAACTGCTACCCATGAGTTCTGGTTTCTATTTTCATTGTAGCACTTGACATGCAAACAATGCCAACGAGACGTTTTTGTTTGTGTTAATTGGGTTTTTACACTAAGCCTGTTATCAATTCCCCACTACGAAGTGGAGTAGCCCAGGAAAATAATCCCAACGCGTGGCCAACTATGGGATTAAACTGCCCTTAATCGCATCGCGTGGTCCACTCGTATACGCGTTGCTTTATTTTGCGAGGCTCCCTATTTAGCAATACTGATTAAATGAATAATTGATTGATTGATTGATTGCAGGTCTCCCGCAAGTCCAGGGCATCTCCTGAAAATCAAGACAGCATCCCGCATTCTTTCAAGCAAGCAAGAATCTCTTGAAAAACAGCCCATTGCCTGCATTTTCACAATACGTGCATATTTTGACTACTATAAGATCAATAGTGTCCCTGAAATTCAGTGCTGATGGGTTCCACTATGCACAGCAGCCAAATGCGATTAAATGCGTTTGAAAAACCTCACTTTAACAGATTTCCAGGAAGTGACTACTTCCAACCTTATGATTGAATAAATCTCATTGAAAATATTGTGAATTATGCAATTACATACATAATTTATAAGCGCTATTTCGTGAAGATCAGAGCACAAAAATCATGGACTACAGTAACTCATACAGTAACTTCCTTTGCCCCAAGGGTCTCTTCGTGTCTGAGCTGGCCGGTAAACCAGTGTTCAGGTGTGGACTAGCTCATATAGTAACTTTCTTTGCCCTAAAAGGGTCTCTTCATGTCTGAGCTACCCGGTAAACCAGTACCAGTACTCTCGTCTGTCCACAACATAGATGAATTTTTCATTCTTGTGGTTCTACAGAAAGGAACTTCAATTAAGCAATCGATTCGATCTAACAGACCTACTGTAGTCACTTGATGATAGGAGGGAAGAAAATCTCTGAACATGTCAGACAGCAACAAACTTTCTAGAAAAGACAAAACTAGTCTTTTCCTTCTTGTCACAAGGGTTGGTAATCCAGTAACAGAGAGGGCATGGTCATAGTGCAAATAATTACCGTACATCCTAAGATTATACGAAAAGCTCTCTTTTGTACCCTTTCAATAGACTTGGAAATGTGTTTAGTAATAGCACCATACCACACTGGGGTAGCATACTCCAAAATAGGCCTTATAGGCCACACAGACAGTTAAAAAGTCAGCAGTTGAAATGTTAGCTTTCTAAAGGATGCATACTGTAAAGGAAAGTAACCTTTGAAAAGCTCTTGAGATAATATTATTTGTATTAAGTTCCCATTTTAAGTTATTTTGAATAATAACTCCAAGGAGTTTCATGTTATCGACAACATCTAAAAGTTTATCATCAAGGCTAAATGAAGACGATACAATATCATCAGGTTTATTCTTAAGGAAATTAGCAACCATAATATGGCATTTTGTTGGATTTGGGATCATATTTTTAGAAGTACACCAACCACTTAGATTATCCAGCATAGTATGCATAGAAGACATTTCACCTATACAAACAGTCTCACCAAGGGTGAGATTGTCCATATATTTGCATCTTCTGCAGCAATCAACATATGCATAAATGAGAATCAAGAAGAACGCCGGACCAAGTGGACACAGAAGAGTGACATGTATGGTGACTTGATCCCTGCAAACTTGGTGTTGGAAAAACGGCCGTTAAGAAAGCTGCAGATGATGGGATTTAAGGACGATCTCACATCAAACGCCTTGGTAAAGTCAATGGCGCAGAAGTTGACATACTGTAACTCCCACCCTTTTCAATATCCTATAGTGTCAATAAGGCTGACTAAATAGTGGGTTGTCAAACAATTTTTTCTACTGCCAAATTGTATGGCATCAAGGTTATCCCTAATGTCATAAGAATCCAATTAACAATAAAGGATTGAAAAACTCTGGCCAGAATGCAAGTTAAAGAAATGGGCCGCAGGTCCACAACAGATTTAGGATTCTTAATTTTGGGTATGGGTACAGCTGTGGCTTTTTCCACAGATCATTAAAAAATTCCTTCCTTTAATGACAAATTAAATATATTAGTGATCGGCAAAGCAAGCTCAGAAGCAAATTCCTTATATAATCTAATAGGAGGTTCATCGGAGTGACCAGCCTTTTTAAGATTAAGTTTAACAAGAGCACTCAAAACTTGCCCAACATAAACTAAAGGCGGAGGTCAAGTGGCTGGTAAATAAGTGAATAGATCATGTAAATTGAGTGGAGCGATTGCATTACAAATACTAGAGAAATGGTTATTAATAATATTAGTAAATTCATCTTTAGAACAGCCAGGTATATTAAAATTATAATTGGTAGTTTTGATATTATTATTACATAACTGTTTGATTCCTTATGCCACTTGGCAGGGTTATTATAATTGAGATGCATTAGCAATTTACGATATACAAAGAAAATTAAAAGGCAGCACTCTGAGACTAACTTGATGTTATTTATTCAACCCGAGCTTTCGCTGGCAGTCAATGCCAGCTTCATCAGGTGTGTCATTGAAGCTGGCATTAACTGCCAGAGAAAGCTCATGTTGAATAAATAACATCCAAGTTTAGTCTCTAAGTGCTGCCT